TACCTGCAATCCTTGTGGATCAGTCCTGCTGTCGTGGTCTTTATGAGACAGAATCGCTGTCTGAAAAAAATGCAGACTTAAAAGGATACATGTTGTAATATTGGGGTCCGTAAATCAGTGTAGAACAAGCAAAATAAGGAAACTAAAATTATTCGGTTTGGCGGTGGCATTTGGTATAGATGACTGTTATCTGGCCCGTAAGCTTTGCGAGCACGGTTCAGTAAATAATGGTAAATATATTTTTTCATTTATAAGAAGGTTCTCGAGATTATAATTAGACCACTTATACAAGGTGATAAGGGACTGGCCGTTGAATTGATCCACAATGACATAAGTAGACTTGCCTTGCTTCGTTAAAAGTCTACTCATCCAGGAAGAGATGCATAGCCGCCCTTGAAATGCACATCTGCTCTGTGGTTCAAGGGTATTCATGGCAATGCAGTGTGGTGGTTGACGTGTCGAGATTATACGCTGTTCTATCATGTTTCGAGTACCACTGGAAAGTGTTTATAAGATCTAGACGAAGTCGAAGTTGAAATCCACCCTGGATAAGAATATTTTTTGAGAAAGCAATGCTAAGTAAAATTAAATGAAAGCCAAAGGTCTCCGAATATCATTGTAGTTAAATTATACTACCAGTCCGCTTAGCAACTTGAATGAAATAGAGTGAATGCACATATAAATGTGAAATTTTGTTTGCTGCCCCCCCCTGACCAAAGAGTTATATGGAAATATATACCACAAAATAAGAGGGATCCAATAAGACTTGTCTAACTTGAAATTGTTGTATAAACGGTTAACATTTCATTTTCACAATCATTCTGCAAGAAAGTGTTTTTATCTCTTCATCCACCATCACAGGTCTTAGGAATCTGGCCAAAAATCTGACTAGTCTGAATCTATGTGCAGACGGAGGCCGTTGTTCAAAATGGAACAAGAGCCAACTTGTTGATCTACTCGCCTCTTCTCAACTTGATTTGATCATTCTAACTCTGGGAACCGGAGAAAACGTAGTAGGTGAGAATCGCGACCTCCACAACTACGACCTACCAGGTAGGCAAGGCGACATCTTGAAGGAGCTATTGCGCCTAAATGCGATGCGACCCCGCGGACCGGTACCAATATTTCTATTGGTATTCACAGCAGGCCCAATAGATATCCAGACCGCGGTTAACAGTGAACAAGTGAGGGTTGCTTTGCATCGTTTTCCCATTTACTATGCTCCAAATTGAGTATAGCCAATTCATAAAAGTTATATTTTTAAGGGTTCACTACTGCTACATTCCTGATATTATGAATTCATGTAAGGATTTGTGAAGATTAAATTTGAACACCAGCTCTATTGAAAAGCCATTAATGCTGCATTTTTGGCTGTTGTAGTGCCTACTCTGAAATGCGAGAAAAACATACTAAACTAGAAGATAGGAAAAAAAGCTGGGTTTCTAAGACTTCTTTAGTGATATATTGTGACATGACTTTGCATTTCAAGGGAAAAGTAGGTTGGCAGGAATTGGTGATTTCGTCTCACCGAAAACCGAAGGAGGATTGCCGCGTAAGAAAAAATGTCGTATCGGGCGAAAAAGTTCTCGGCTCATCGTCCTCACTTCCGGTTCAAAAAATAACTTCACTTATCTGCAAGCATGTAGAGTAAGGCCGAAGTAGCCAACCAAGGTTAGGTGTATAAAAAAGCGACAAGGAATGCAGCCGGCCACCTTATCTCTTGGTTTAGTATAGATTTACTCTATTTAGTAAAGTATAGATTGTTCTTCTGGTGAAGTCTGTCACGGTGCGGACGAAAGTTCTGCTCAGGCTCATTGAGGTCGCAGGACAGTCTTCTATACGCGGCAATCCTCCTTAGGTTTAATGTTGGACCACATCACGAATTCTCTCCAGCCAAGTTTTCCTTCGAAATAAAAAGTCATGTCCCAACATACTAAACTGATACGGGGGGTATGGAATACTTCTTCAAATATATCACATGAAGCTATTGATTACAGCCATATAAGTTCTGCCTTGCAGATGGTTGCTTTTTGGGTTGGTGAGGCAAATCGGGGGCCTCAGGCAGAAAAGCATAGGGGCCTATGTAAGGAGTATGTCTTAAAAGAGCCATATGATGGAC